CTAAGCTGGAGGAACACATCTTACAAATTACAAATCAAAACCATTCATAAACAGGAACGAACGAAGCCCTAAGCAAGTCTGAACAGTAGAAAAAGAAAGTTATGGCAGGAAACCTATCAAATTTAAGCTGGGAAAATTGACACCATCGACAAGGTCAAGGCAATGAGTAGGCCTTCAATATTAAACTGCACGTTTAGATTAATTTTGTTAACATCAATGAAATGGGTGTTAATATGAGCTTTGTAGATTTTATCAGCTTGCTTTTAAAAATAAGTAATTGTAAACCAGAATACTACGCGACTTTGTGTCCTTAGGAAAAGCACTTTACACTAATTTTCTTTACTTCACCTCTCTGGAAATGGGTAGATCTACCTGGTTATAGAAAGCGAGAGATCGTGTCTGTTTGTTAGTTCCTTCAGCACGCGCAATCCACTGAATGTACTGTACAATGCTTCGCGGAAGCCAAGAATGTTTCTGTGCGTTCTGCAGTGGTAAAATAGTTGTAAAAGGTATAGAGAATTCTGTAGAGCGTGGATATGCGCCACAATATATATAACTAGCTGAGTACCCGGCTTAGCTCGGGGTCGACAGCGTCACTGCTCCTACTGGTCTACGCCGCCGAGGCATTTTACATCTACATTGCTGACCAGCCTTTCACAGTCACACCTGGCTTCTAGATCTATATTGCTTTAGATTAGGTCTGCTTTGATTAACTCCTCTCTTGATCTACACTCCTCTCTTGATCTACATTTGCTTTAGTGTATTGTTGTCTAGCCCGTCGCAATCACAAGATACGAGTTTCACCTTGCACAATCACAAAAAAAGCACTTAGAAAATAATAATCCACGAAAAGGCTGCAACACTGTAAAAGGAACATACCGACGTTTTCAAAATCACAGAGGCAGTGTTTATAAATTATAGCTTGTTCCCTTTCCTCTGACAGTTTTTTATTTAAAAAATCCAACTCATTGACAAATTGACCAATACCCACGAAACTGTGCCTGTCACTTCTACAGGCTAGCGACCAAACAAAAATATTTTTTCAAAAAATGTTGACCCAGCAATTTAAAAAAGTTTTTCTCTTTGTTCCCTATATTAAAAACAACGTTTTGGATGCATACACAGGATCACGTCTCCACGTACTACAGGTGAGTCTCAAAAATTATTCACCCCGTCTCTTGAATCACGTTTCTCAGGCGAACGTTGTGCGGTTTTCACACAGACTGGAGTAACGAAGCCGAGTAAGACGAAATTTCTAAGTCCAGCAGGTCGGGGCTACTCTGGATACATTTCTCTGAGCAATCAGCCTCCCTCCCCGTGCGATATTTCGTGCTCGCCGTCTGAAATTATTTCTCGGGAAGCTTGCCGAAATTTTCAAACATGCTTAAAATTTTCCAGAGCGAAAAATGAGTCGCCGAGTCTTAAACTCGCTCGGGGAAAACTCGGGGAGGACTCAGGGAGTGTCAGAAATAGTTCGACGTGCAAAGTTGCAAACGTTGCCGAGTAACAATGACACGCCAACGAGATCTGAATGATAGCTGTGTTA